ACTGAATGTATATATTAGAAAAAGAAGAAATATCCATAACCTGAGCTTCCACTTTAGAAACTGAGGAAGAGCAATTTAAGCCTAATGTAAGCAGAAAATAAATAAAAATAAAAATTACAATAGAGATCAATGAAACTCAAATGAGGAAAACAATAAATAAAATTAACAAAACCAAAAGCTGGTAACTCTCTAGAAGTTTATCAAAAAGCAGGGAGTGGGGAGGGAGAAGAGCAAGGAGACAAATTAACAAGGGGTCATTATTACTCATCCCACAGACTTTAAAAGGATAATAAAGGAATAATATAAACAACTCTATGGCTAAAATTTGACAACTTAAATGAAATGGACCAATTCTTTGAAAGACACAAACTACGAAAGCTCATACAAGCAAGCAGACATTCGCTCCCAGGGCCTCTGCCCACCAGCTTCCGCACACCAGAGCCAGACCTCTACGAACTCACCTCTTGGGAGCCTATAATACAAGCCCCTCAAAGCTCTGAGTCTCTCACCACGTGGACCAATCCAGACCTCTTCTGACTCCTTCTAGAATTCTATCAGCTTCTCAGCCAAAAGAAAATGCAACTCCCTCAGAAATCTAACACATCTTGCTAACAACTGAAGCCTGAAAATAATCTACTGGGGATTACTAGAAATAATTTTCTTGGTAATGTGGTAGATATCTAAGCCCACCACCGTGTCTTATGTCCCTGATACCCTCTTTTACCACCCATGTATCTGCCATTCGCCCTTTTCCCACGTCTTTATCCCCATACTAACCCCTGTGCTTCCTCTTCCCAATTTACCCTACAAGTGCTCCTTATCTTTCTAAATCTTTCTGCCATGACTTTTGGAAATCAGATTTCAAGTTTAATAAATCCTTCTATATTTTCAAATTCTTCAACAATAATCTCCTCCATTTTCAATACATCACTTTCCCCCCTGCAATTCCCTTTTCTTTGTACACTTCAAGACTTTTCGTAAATATTACATAAAAGTTACTTCATATAGTACTTTGTTTTCATCTGTTTCACTTACCACCATACCTAATAAGCATGATGAGTCAGTAAATCAAATTGATACCATTTTCAAAGGAATAACTGGTAGCAGTCTTGCAGAAACAAACACTGGTGGCAACACAACCATCTTGGAAGGTATTTCATAGATTTACTTCTAAAATTTAATAAGGCACAGTCCACACACAATTTAACCTTCCCAAAAATGAAAGGTCCCCTATTCTCAAAAAGTAAGTAATTTTTTTCCCTGATATGTATGATGAATAATGTACTTTACTTTTTAGTTATATATAGGAATAAATTAAATCATATAGGTTATACAATAGTCATAACAACATATACTTTACTGAATAAGTACAACCTGTAAGAAGAAATAGTAAAGCAAGGGAGGTCTCCAAATATAATTAGTTATAAGTTGGCAAATACCCAACTAAAAAATTCTTAGGAAAAAAGAGCAGAGGGTCTCAGGATGTCCAGCTTTCAGATGTGAGCTCTCCCCAGTTGTCATACAGACACCAAATCCTTTTGTTGGTGGTTCACAGGATGGCTCATCTGTGTGGGGCACTGGCACACAATACTAGTTATGTTCTACCTCACAAATGACTATACTTCATTGAGCTTATGCTCAGTAGAGCAGTGTTTGCAAACCACTTAGATTCCAGGATGGAAAGAGCTACAAAAATGAAACATGCAGTCCTTCTCTGAGGTTTGTTATTAGCCTCTGTTAGCCACAGGTTACGGGGCACTAAACACTAGGAACTGTGTGTTTGCTCGTAACCACTATGAAAAATAGCCTATAACATCTTTCTGAAGACTCCCAGAAAATTTGAAGGTAATTCCAAATCTGGGAATTTAACTGGGATTTACTTCAATTCTTAGAACTAGTTCTTGTCAAAATATCTCACTAATTCTTTCTTGGGTGTCAATTCAATTTTGTTTCAAACAACACTATTATTCAACAGGCTATTACTAAAGTTTAATACTACTGGGCGCGGGG